CTCATTGTTTTTTTATTTTCCAAGCTATTTTATTCTCCTTCCTGATGGTTAATTTAACAAAATATAGTATTTTTTATTCCAAAATCTTTGTCTTTCAGTCCCTTTCGTTGTTTTTTACTTTTTACTTTTTTTCGTATTATTTTTCTTGTTTCTTTATGATTATTTTCTTCTTTTCATATTCAGTTTGTTTTTATTTTTTATTTTCTGTGATTTCTCTTATGCCGTCTTGGTTCCAGAAGCAACGGCCAAGCAACCGGCGGTTCGCCTCTCGGCTTCAACGAGCTCTTCAACGAGTTCCGTCTCCAGGAAGGTCTCCACTCCATGGACGAAATCCTGGGTGTGATAATCGATCCCGAAGGAATGTCATTCAACGACTTGAAACCAATCTACAAAGAATTCCTCCTAAAACTCTCCGTCACATTAACAAAAGACGAACTATACCAACGTTCAAAATCGATAATGCGTCGCCAGAAGAAGAAACTTTTGCGCCGAAATAGCCTTCAACCAAAACCCTCCTCTCATCACATCTTAGTCGGAAACAAATTCAAACGTCTCAAACACATTTTTCGAAAAAACTTAAAACTCAAACTCGGAAAAAACAAATCTGGGTCCGACCCCGGCCCCGACCCGAAAATCCCCGAAAGCAGTATTTCGACATCGAGTTACGACACTCGGCAATTCTCGCCACGCGAAGAACAAGTGAAGAAAATTGCTAAACGCCGCGACCGGATTTCCACATCGGAAGAAAGCGATTTTTTCAGTCTGAGGCGGAAAAAAATGTCGGGGAATCACCACCACCAAAATCGGAACTCTTCGAGTGGTTACGTCTCGTGTTCGGAATGTTCGTACGACAGTGACACTTGCACTTGTGTCTCAGCCGATAAGTGTTATTGTTCATTGGGCAATAAACACGTCCCTAAGAAAAAAAATCAATGTGATTGCAATCTGGACGGTCCGGTGACGTTTTGTGGGTGTGATACCGACTCATGCACTGAAAGTAATAAATGTTATTGTCAAAATCCTCCCCGGAAGAGCACAATTCAAGAACTGAAACGCCGGAGTTTGAAGAAAGACCGGAAATTGTGTCGCAGGGCTTCGAATTCCCGGAGTACAAAAAGTTTGGAGTACATTGGGCCGTATTATGAGAAATTGGGGTCGAAGAGGAAGAATTACAATGGGGTGGCGGTGGATTATGAGCTGTTCAGTGTGAGGAGTGGGAGAGGGAGGAGTGAAGGAAAGCACGGGAAATATGGCGCGAGAAGTAAGTATGAGGGAGGAAATTGATTGAGAAATAATAGAGTAATAAAGTGGTTATTACGTCAAATATGACAAGGGAGAAGAATTAAAATGATATGTTTAGTGAGAGAATAAAGGGTGAAATTGCTACCTTCATATATCAAAGAAACTTAATTATTATTAACCCAATTTTGTGCCATTTTCTTATGTTTTGTTAATACCTTTTTTACAAAAAATTCAACATTTGTGTCATTTTAGAGCAAAAGTAATTTTTTAATCTTAAAATAGTCGATTTACCTTAAGTTGCAAAAAAGTTTGAAATATGGTTTTCTAGACGTAAAATCAACAAATTTTTATTTATTTTTTATTTTGTAAATTGCGACAAAACTGCACCTCAAAGATTATAAAATTTTAACGTAAACATATGTAAAATGTTCCGGGAAATCAATTGACGTCAAAAAAAACTGCAAAATTCGTAATAGTTTTATAGTTATAGACGAATTTACATTTTTGATATTTTTGACTGATCTTTTTTGTATACATATCATAGAAAATTAAATTTTCTCCCCAAAAGTATCAGACATAAGAGGTTATCACTAATAAGTCCGGAGTTATTGCCAATAGAATGCCAAAAATCAACCAAAATCTCAACAAAAATAAAAAAAAATTCAACTTTAAAATTGGTCTATATAACGTTTTTTTTTACAAATGTAAAAAAAACGTTATATAGACCAACTAGAAATCTAGAAGTTTTAAAAACTCAAAAAGGTGCGTAAAACGCTAATGGGTCAAGTTTAAAAAATTCCGAATTTTAAGTAAAATCAACAAATTTTAACTTTTTTTTTATTTCGTAAATTGCGACAAAACTGCTCCTCAAAGATTACAAAATTTCAACGTAAACATATGTAAAATGTTCCGGAAAATCAATTGACGTCAAAAAAACTAAAAAATTCGTAATAGTTTTGAAGTTATAATCGAATTTATATTTTCCATATTTTTGACTTAATCAAAAATTTTCTCGATAACTATTTGTTTTAGAACACTCTTCTTTTTTGTGTATAATAGAAAAGCAAATTTTCTCCCCAACGGTACTAAATAAGACCGAAGTTATTGTCAATAAACCGCTCCGTGTGCCAAAAATCGACCAAAATCACGACAAAAATTTAAAAAAAGTTAACTTTAAAATTGATCTATAAAACGTTTTTGTAAAAACTCAAAAACGTGCATAAAACGCCATTAAGTCAAGTTTTAAAAAAAATGAGGTTTTCTAGACGTAAGTAAAATCAACAAATTTTTCCTTTTTTTATTTTGTAAATTACGACAAAACTACACCTTAAAGATTATAAAATTTTAACGTAAACATATGTAAAATGTTTCGAGAAATCAATTGACGTCAAGAAAACTCCAAAATTCATAATAGTAATTTATGTTTTCGATATTTTTGGTTTTATCAGCAATTTTTTCGATAACTATTTATGGTAGAACACTAATCTTTTTTGTATATGATAGAAAATTAAGTTTTCTTTCCAACGGTACCAAACATACGAGGTTATCATCAATAAGTCCGAAGTTATGAGCAATAGGCCACTGCGGGTCCAAAAATCGACCAAAATCTTGACAGAAATGAAAAAGAATTTCAACTTTTTTACATTTTTAGCGGTCTCAAAGACTCAAAAAAGTGCATAAAACGCTGTTGGGTCAAGTTTAAAAAATTAAGAATTTTTTGAGTTTTTCTAGACAAGTTTTTTTTATATTTTTTTATTTTGTAAACTGCAACAAAACTGCACCTCAAAGATTATAAAATTTCAACATAAACATATGTAAAATGTTCCGGGAAATCAATTGACGTTAAGAAAACTCCAAAATTTAGAAGTTATAGTCGAATTTATATTTACGATATTTTTAATCTTATCAGCAATTTTCTCGATAACTATTTATCGCAGAACACTAATATTTTTTGTATATGATAGAAAATTAAATTTGCTTTTCAACGATCATAAGTACAAGAGGGTAGCGCCAATAATTCCGGAGTTATTATCAATAGACTGCTATTGGTACCAAAAATCGATCAAAATCTCGACCAAAAAAAATGTAACTTTAAAATATAATAATATAACGGTTTATACATTTCTAGAGCTCCTAAAGACTCAAAAAAAAGAGCATTTAACATTATTGGGTCAAGTTAGAAAAATTACAAATTTTTGGATTTTTTGAAGGTGAGCGGTAAAAATAGTCAATTTACCTTGAATCATCGTAAAAACGCTTAAAATATGGTTTTCTAGGCGTAAAATTATACGCTGAGCATATTGAGTAATAAAGTTAAGAATAGTTTAGATATTTCTGACTTATCAGCAATTTTCTCGATAACTATTTATCGTACAACAATGATTTTTTTTTTCATATAATAGAAAATTACATATGCTTTCAAACTGTACTAAACATAAAGAGCTAGTGCTAATAATCCCATAGTTATTGGCAATAAACCGCTTCAAGTACCAAAAATTGACCAAAATCCCGTCAAAAATCAAAAAAATCGACAATTTTTAAACTGATCTTTCTAACTTTTTTCACATTTTTAGAGGTCCTAGGGACTCAGAAAACGTTATTTGGACAAAACGCAAGTTTTATTTTTCAATTAAAAAATTGAAAGAAAAATAAAGTGGGAAATTTTCTCGTTAAAAAATAATTTTTCCGCAAATTAGACCTTCCACCCTTTTAATTTAATCGAGGCCATGTCAGTGTCGCCAACCCCATTTACAAAACCGCCACGTCTCCCGTCGTCATCAATTCAATCCCGGAAAAATAGGCCAGGGTTGAAACCCTCACGAATACGCAATTTCTTGAATGTTTTATTTTTCCCCCAGATGATCATCGCACATTACAATCCACTGCCATTTCCGGCGCCTGTACCGAAGCCCTCTCCGTGAAAAAATCCGCCGAAATCGCGGCCCTCTTCGCCGACATCAAACTGAGCCAAACCACCGACATTGCCCATTTGACACCCCGGACTTGTGACATGGACACGATTATTTCATCCCGGAACGCTTACAACAAACTGAAATCGCAACACGATGCCAAAAAAATCATTCAAAATGGGCTCTATGTGAGGAATAATCCCAAAATGTACAGTGCCCGAAATGGGCTATACACCATCCAGAGCCAATCGGACGAATCCAGACGCTCCAGTTTGAGCGAAGACAAAAACTATTTTGATTTGACAAAAAAAAACAGCAGTAATCTGGAAAATTCGTTAGGTTATCTGCCCTAGTGGGGAAAAAATGCCATTTCTTTCGTTTTGGGGGGGTTAAAGATTCGGTAGGGTTGCTAGAGGGAGACTATTTTAATTAAGTGCAATAACATGAAATGTGCAATATTCTTATTTATGTGCAATAATTAGCTATAAGAAATAAAGATTTTATCTCAAATTGCGTTTTATTTAATTTAATTCAAAAATTGGTCGGTTTGAAACATGAGAGTTTCATTAAATAACCTTCTGACCTTAATTAAAACCAAGTTAGTTGGTAACTGAAACCATTTCCAAGTTTTGTTAAAAATTTAATCAAGTTTATAATTTTTTTGATATGATTATTTAATTTAAAATTTGGCGTCGCGACGCCTCAAATCAGTGATAACAAACGTCCGGAACGCGTGTCTATTCGAAATAATAATATCGATCTGGGATGACGTCACAAGCGACGTCGCGACGCCGAGCGAGCAACAGGCTGCGATATCAACAGGCGACAGTTATCGTGTTGGTAGGCGTCGTGACGGACGTCGTCGTCGTCGTCCACATCACGTGATTATTTCTCTTTCGTCGATGGTAAACAATGGTCGATTGTGGATCCAACGATGCTACCAACAGATTTGTTTGTCCCAACGATAGGCAATTGGCGCTTAGAGCGAAGTGAGTAAATGGAAGGAAATTTGTTTGTTTTTTCGCTTTTGTTTGTTGGTGATGGTAATTGAGGATTGTTAAAGGATGACGGATGTTTTATTGATTTTGTGCTTTTCATGAATTTTGTACTCGGATGTAAATAAAGCCGTGCAACGACTAAATCCAGCAATTTGCAAATTTTTTAACCCAATTTTTGAAAAATTTAGTTATAAAAACTGGTAAATTTTCCAAAAAACTGCTGAATAAAACATCAAAACATAGCATTGTGGCAATAAAGTACAGGGTGTTGTATTTGTTAAAAAAGTCATTTGTAATTTGTCATTTCCAAAAAATCGAATAAGAGTTCGCTTTTATCTCAGAAGATGCACTGAAGCTGAAGAAATCGACTGGAAAAAAGTTGATAAAGTTATCTTGAATGGTTCCCAAGTTATGAATTTTTCTGTGGGTCTAAGCACACCACTATTTTGACACATAAATTGACACAAAAACATCAAAAACTATTACAGATAAGTAAAACAATCCGAGTGTGTTATATCGACAATTTAGTGTCGAATCCAAAAATTTAACAAAAATTAGAAGTTTTCATTAAAAAAAAAAACGAACTTAGTTGTGTATTTTATTTTGAGACACCCTGTTTATGTATAAAAATGTTTTTAGAATGTGTCTCATTGTCTAACCTAAAAATTAAAAAAAATCAAGACGATAACTTGGATAGAAAAATAGTTAAGGGAGCTTGCAGGCAACTCTAGGTCACCCTGTATGTATGTACATACAGGGTGAATAAAAAGTATGGAACCATTAGTTTGCATAAACTCGCTTTTCAAGAATAAACATTTCGAGTTTAGCAATTTTTTTTAAAACCACCCCGAAGTTCCTGCACAAAAAACGCAAATTTAAGAATTTATTTAAAAAAACGACTGGTTAATTAGAAATCACTCTTAGATCATAATTAATTTAAAAAAGTGTCATGGTGGGTTGCCATAAAAAGAATACATTTTCAACTCTAAAACTAAAAAAAAATTTTATTCTCAAAAAACGATCATATTTTTACAGTATTTTAAGCTGCACTAATTATTTTTTTTGTAAAGTAATTAGTTTATGCAAAAAACACTTGGTTCCATACTTTTTATTCATAATAATGAAATTATTTTGCAGATTTTTATTACTTACTTACTCATATGATCCCCTTAACCCTTAAAATTTTAATTTTTTAAAAAAGATTTTTTAAAATTTCTACTGTTGTCCGAACAGGCCTATACAGGTGCGCCAGAACTCGCGCCCCAGAGAAGATAGCAATGTTAAAAAAATTCAATCTATAAAAATTTCGAAGTTATGAGAATTTAAATTTTGCACTTTGACTCATCTATTTATTTCAGTTGGAAAAATAATTTTCCGAGTTTTTTGATCAGGGTATTAGAAGAGGAAACAAAGATGCTGTAACGTAAAGAGTAACTCTATTATGTTATTTGTGGCTTTTATTGTTCTGACACACCCTGTATAGTAGTTAAATAATAATTCCAAGTTTTTTGAAAGTTTTGGTAAATAAACATTTTTTTCACAAATAGAAATGTAGGTCTTTACGTAACATTACTTTAAAAACTGTAAAAAGCCGAACGCTGATTTGTATTTTTATAACAATTTTTACAAAAACTGAAAATTTCCTGGGTTTTTGACCCACTGTTTAAGAAATATTAATTCAAATAAGTCAATAATTTCGAGTTGTTTGAAGATTTTTGTAAACAAAACGCTAAATAAATATTTTTCACAATTGAATGTTAATTATTTTCCACTAACCATGCATTGACACCTCATTTTTTAAAAGTACAAGATTTATAAAATGATTGTTTTAAATTGTAAAAGCAGCCGCTTTTCTCGATAAAAAGCGCCCCAAGCATCAATTGATTGATCAATTTATTGAGTCCATTACCCAATACTTTCACCATTCATCCGAGCCTCAAATCAATAAAACCATCAGTGAAATCTTCCTCGTCCCAGCGCCCCCATTGTCCATTTTGATAAAATCACACTGTATAAATCTCAAAGTGTTTATCACTGTGATTACAACTAATCTCTCTTATCACGACCAGATGTTGTTTTTTTCTAGACTCAAAGCTGGTTGGAGTGTCAAAACAGCCACCTTAAACACCCACGGAACCGCCCCCACGCAGCCTTTGGGGCCTGAAGAGCAAGAAGCCATCGTCAATGTTATCAAACGGGCGGAAGAAATCGACCTCACGGAGCAAGAGCGAGTAAAATAATCAACCTTGAAAAAACTCGAAAGGCCGTTAACTCTGGAATTAGTTTTACAAATTTTTGAAATTTAATCGTAATTGCTTAGAATTATTTGGAACTTTTTGGAATTATTAAAATTATTTTTGGATTGTCTGGAATCACCACCATAATTTTAATTACTGGAATTACCACATTTTTTAATTAATCCGAAAATAATGGATTAATAAAATCACTGAAATTGAATTTTGGTGAAATTTTTCTCATTATCGGAGATAATTTCTTTCGAAAATTACGTTGAATTTCTTGGAATTAATTCGAAATTACTTTTTAAAACTACAAAATTACGGAAATTAAGTTAGAATTAAGTTGGATTACAGGAATTAATTTAGATTTTTAGGAATTGAATTAATCCGAAAACAATGGAATCACAATGGATTTGAATTGAAGAAATTGCATTACCGGAATTACTTGTAAATTACAAAATAACGTTATATTTTAAAAGTATAGTAATTAATTTTTAATTACGGAAATTATATGTTGGAATTAAATTGTAATTACAAGAATTAACTTAGAATTAATCCGAAAACAATTAAATTACGATGAATCCAATATTAATCAATAAAAATTATTGAAATAGTATTATTGTTAATATTGTTATTGTCTTAATATTAAAATTATTGAAATAGTATTTCGGTGGATTTTTTTAATTACTTATAGGAATTATTTGTAAAATACTGAAATATTTTTAAAATTACAAAAATTATTAAGTTGGAATTAAGTTCACATTACAAAAATTAATTTAACATTGTACGAATTAATCTAAAAACAATGGAATTACCATGGAATAATAGAATTACTGGAATTGAATTACCGAAATTATTTGTAAATTACTAAAATTTACTAAAATTTCTAGAATGTTTTTGGAATTACTAGAATTCTTTTTGCAATTATCGGAAATAATTTATTCTTTTGAAAATTACGTAGAATTTCTTAA